AGGCACAGATGTTGAAATTCACACAAATATGTTTATCATAGGTTTAGTCGCAATTTTATTTTGTATGAGTATGATTGACTTTCATATTCGAATTGAGAAGTATACAAATATTAGTAACAGCAATGTGATCTTCAGAAAAAAATCTCGCGTCAAGATTTTGATTGGATTCCAAAGAAAATTTTTCAATTAAAAAAGAAATACTTGTTACAAAATTTTAATTCTCTGAAATATCCAAAATTTCTACAATATATTAATGTTTTTCATACTCTGATATCGTTATTATATATTCATAAATGAAGAACTAATATGCTGATATATCAGTATACGAAATTTGGAAGATAACAATAATGAATCAAAATATCGATTGATATATTTTTCATCAAATTAATAAATGAATAATAAAAAATGTTTATACTGGTAATCTTGTGTTCCACAAAAAAAAACATTTTTTAGGAATTAATGAATATATGAACATGCTGATGAACCAATATACGAATTTATTGGTGCCGAAAAATATTAATATACTGATATCCAAGTACTTGTAGACATTTCACTTTCTTAATATATTCATAGACTATATTCATATATCAGTCTAATAATGCATTAATAATCCGAAATAATTAATGCAAATAGCAGAACTTCTATGAATTTTGGTAATATCATTACCATCAGCCTTAAGACACATTTAAATCAATATATCGATTGATATTTTTCATATAAAATTAATACTTGGGTAATAGAATAATATATAATTTGGCATTTCATTGTATTCCATACATATGTATTTTTTTATGAATTAATGAATATATCAAAATATTGATGAACCAATATGCGAATGTATTCATGCTTTCAAATGTTAATATACTGAGGTTCCAGTACTTGGGTATTTTCTATTTTCTATATTTATTCTGAGAACGAAATATGACCCTGTAAATATACCAGACTAATAATGCATTATCAATACAAAATATTTCTGAATTGAATACAAATAGTAGAATATTCAAGAATTTTGCTAATATTATTATTGTCAGCCTTAACACGTATGGAAATGCTAATAAGACTAATATTGACATTGAAATTGATTTGGGCATAAATACGCATTTGTACTCATTACCATGAATATTACCACGTAAATTTGTATTATATATTTTGGGAATACCAATGTTGGCTCTAGGAAGCTCCAAAAGTTCTTGTCTCATGTGGAGACTAGCACGATGAGATACGCGGGTGTCCGCGAAATAAAAGAATTATATATAAACCACAAATATGTTCGAGAATGGAACGGATATATTGCCAAAACATGCCCAAAATTGTATTCGTACTTGTCTTTCTTATTCATCCTATATTTTAATTTTGGGGTATTTTCTAAGCAAAATCATGATATTTTTTTTGAATAGTATTTTTCGTAAAATAATCGAATAGGCAGAAATATTTTTGAATTTGAAGTAGTATTCACAATAAATATGAAAGATTAATTTCAATGGAAAGATATAGATTTTGATTTGCACTTCAACAAAATTCGATTTTGTTTCAAAAATATCCGAATTGCGAAACTGGTAAATGATCAGAACAAAATTGTTGGTACAGGAACGGAAATATGAGTTCATTCATCAGACACAAACAATATTTGACACTGAGAAATAAATTGCTGTTCGCTTGAAAATTGCAACATTGGGGAACAACTTGTTCAAGCAATTTTTTAAACATCGTTGAATTTATAATTTGATGGAAGAAACAAAATTGCATTAAAACATTTGAGCGCATTGGAATCGGTCGTCAGTTTTTGATGAACCTGGGTTTAACAAAGGATGAACCAACTGGAATCCAATTTCCGAAAATTCACAAGAATAAACACGATTTGATTTGCACCTTGAGTTGTATAGAACTTGTTCAACATGTTTGCATTGGTACAAACTTGCCCAAACAAGCTTTGGCTGATTTGGAAAGCAAATCTAATTTGAAGCAAACAGCAAGACTCAAAAAAAGCCAAAAAGTCAATAAAATTTTTGAATTCCCGTGCCAATTGAAATAACATTTAAAAAAAGTTGCTGCTTTCTTTTAAAGTGATAAGCGAAAAGCTTTTTCGAAACACAAACGAACATGATTATCAGCCATATAGCTTGGTTTTGCAAACCACCACAAAAAAAAATATCCCCGTTGGCAATTTTGAAGCCAATCGAATATATCAAAACACAGCCATTGTTTTTTTTTGGTTCCTATTTACAATCGACACATTCAAGTTTCAAAACGAGTAAAAAAAAAATTCAGGCAAAAAAAATTTTTGCTTTCTTGTCCCAGCCATAAGTACTGAGAAGAGGCGGGGTTTTATTACGGCACATTCCTTCATTATTGTGATTACAGCATCGATGTGAGAACAGTATGAAGCCCGCGCCCCCGCCGCCCAAAGTGTCCGCCAAATCCTTGGCACTGATTGTCAAAAGCGCATTTTTTGCAAGCACCGGCGGCAGCTCGAATGGTATCTCCACGTCTAATAGCAACTCTATGATGACAAAACCGCCCACGGCCACGCCTGACCGCTTTTCTGGCCTAAAAGTAATTCTCCCTGGCATTTATACTCACGCCTGCGCATGGGCCCATGCTTTCTTTTCACTGCATGACTGCGAACATGTGACTATAACTGTGAAAAATTGCGAAATACACAGGACGACCAATCAAGCAGCCTGCTACGTTCAATAAATACAACTTCTATGAAGGTGATCCAGTAACCCTTTAAGCAACGCCTGCCGCTTGAACTTCAAATTTCACGCAACTTCCCTTTTTTTCGGCACCTGTGCCGCAGACATCTGGCACTTCAACTTTTGCGGCAGCCAGCATGTCGGGGCAAAACACAGCACGGAACCACTGAATAGCGCCATGATCCCCTTTCCAGCTTTCCTTCTGCAGCAGCTGAAGCAGCTGGAAGGAAGTGGCTGAAGACAAATCAGGCGTGTCTTTCGGGGCGTGCGGTGATACGCTGACAGGAAATTATTCTTGGTTGCACAGGCCGTTCAATGCCAACAATTTTTCCGAAACATCGACCGGCGGTGATTTCATGAAATTTATTGGCGTCAGGGGTCCACAATTGACACAGGTGTGGGAGGCAGAGGGCAGCTGTTCTTTCACCCATTGCTGCATTCAGCTTTGCACATTCAGACTCAAGCTGACTGAAGGTGAAAACAGCAATCAGCATTTCATGTTTCGCAAAGCAGAAACATCATTTGGGGGGATTCCAGGGCCTTGCACCAAGTGGCATTTTCCACAGCCAGCGGCGGCGAACCAAGGCGTTTCTTCCCTTACCGAGTCCTTCTTAATCCGTCACGCAATTGTGTAACAAAATATCCTGAAAGGCTGAAATGGTTTCAAAGAATATGATATTTCCCAAATATATTTGAGTTGACACTGCATTCACGTGAAACATGCAGGTGGGCAGTAATCGGGCAAAGACAGCTCAAGTCTTGAATGTTTCCTGCGCAGGCCATTTGTGATGACGAAGACACAAGGCAAGCTGTGAAAGTCGTAATTTGGACGTACCGGCCAAACGTCAGTCACGGACTCCTAGACATCCACTCACACACGTTGAAACAAATTCATGGGGCTTTAAAGGCATTTTTCTTTTCAGCCATTCCAGCCAAGCAATTGGCCGCAAATTGCGGCAAAATTCCATCCAGAGTCCCATGCTGAAGGCAGAATTATGGGCAGGAGGTGACGTCTTTTGCGCTTAACAATGAAATTCACGTGCAAAGTCTGCATTGGCAATTTGCGCCGGCTGCATCCTGACGGAATAGGAGCCCAACAGCAAGCACTAAAATGAGAGCATCTCACATTTGACGACATTGTGCGGGAAGAACTGCTTTTCACAGGGCCCTTGGCTGCAGCAAGAAATAAACAGAAATAAACAAACAAAAAAAACACACACAGGCAGACAGAGAAATAGAAAGAGGCCGAGCCCGAGACCCCATCTTTTTCAAGCCATATTTGAATTTTCAGAAATTTCTAGCTCTAGATCAGCCGAACCGTTTTACGCGCCGTAATTTCTCAAAATTTTGAAGTCGAGGCGCCCCGAAGCGTACTGCACCGCGAATAACAAATACTCACGCCGTAATACTTGAGACAGAGAAAAAGAGAGAGAGAGAGAGAGAAACCCAGAAAAAACACACATACCGACCAGACAAGCAGACAGACAACTACTGAAATCTCGTGCAAGCGCTCATCCATAGCATTATTAATCAAATTTCTTTTAATCATAATCTTTGTATATCATACGGCACCATTATCCAATATAAGATTGACATAATTATAATGCATTCTGTATTTAGAATATAAAATATGAAGAAGCTAGTTTCGGTCCAAAAATTTTACGAAAATTTCTAGTATCCAAATACCTATATTTTCAAATTTTTTTCGAGTCCCGAATATACCCAATCAATTTGCTCGCCAAGACCCTCAAATTTCTGCAAATTTTTGCAATCCTAAAAATAATTTTTATTATAAAATTTTATAGAGTAGATTTTTTGACTTATTATTTAAAAAAATATTTTATTATATTATTTTTCTTCTTAATATCCATATATAAATATAAAAAAATATATATTATCATAAAAGGAAATTTATTTATTATTCTTATAATTATATCGCTAAAAAAAAAAATAATTTTCCATTCAATATATTTTTAAAGATTCATAATCTAATTATTATTAAATTATATATAGAATTTCATTTAGGATCTAAATTATTTACTATTATTTATTAAAAATATTATATGAATATAAATAAATAATCAGAAAATCTCTTATACTAAAATTTATGGCAAATAAATAATTATAAAACTAGTCCCAATCCCGGGATAATGTTACCTTTTCCATATTTTAATTCTTGAATTCACAGGTCCATGAAATTTCCCAACGTTCATTAAATGCAAAATATTCTTCCGATATATGAAAATAATATCAATACCAAATATTTCGGTATATTCGCCTCTAGACTTTCGCTTAATGCTTTTCGACTTCAAACAGCTTCACATCAGGCAGATGGTGCACCGGAGGCGGCATGGCCACTGTCACGGTCAAAGGATGTGCTGGGTACGAACCCTTCAGCTTCTCTCTTATACGTCGATGCACGAAAGGCATTAAATGGTCATATACCCCCAGTGATGTGAGTTTCATGAGATTCTCCGTTTCCCACATGTCTGCACAAAGACTCCTCCAGCATTGGAACTCGTCTGCCGGAACCCATGGTCGGCCACCCGGTTCCAATTCAATCTCCCTTGCCACGTCGCCACGCACGAAGAGTGCATCGCGTGCGCTGAGGCGGTACAGCCCAAGGCCATGTGGCCACAGCAGGGCCACCGCAGCGCTCAAAGAACAACCCAACACGAAAGCACCTTTGCGCTTGGTGCCACCGCTCTGCGCTTTCTTTCCAGGCATGCTTCTGTTCTCGCTTTCTTGGTAAATTGGGTGGAAATCTGAAGAGACTACGATCGGGGGAGGATATGGTACAACCTCCAAGGCAATCATCTTGGGACTCAGAACCCGAAGGGCTTCCTGCAACACTGCACAGTCGTAGGAATCGATGTCGACACTAATGGCATCTACTTCCACCCGCACATCCGACCTATCAGGGAAAGTATCACCGACCTTTCCTCCGCTCATGTCTGGCACTGCCGCTGCATGGCAGACCTGGGCGATGCCTTGAATCTCCTGGCGTCGGAGCTGGTGGCAAATGGTTTGAATCGCCGAAGTCGGTGTAGTGTAGCCACACTCCACATGAATCTGAGCACCATTCTTCTTCATCAATTTGCGTACCGATTTGCAATTCTCACGCATCGCTTCGAAGTAGATCCCTTTCCACGGAGGGCGGGTGCTGTCTCCTGGAAATGCTGTCAACGTTTCAGCCAAAGGATCATCCGTCAAAGCATCTGCAGCCCCGATGTTGATCAAGATCCTTGTCACCTCTGACTTTTCTTGGATCCTAGCGTACAATCGAAGCGGTTCTTCTTTCACAAATAACCATGCCGGCACCGCACAATGCTGACGGTCGGCCGTGCCAAAGCGATGTCTGTGCCGAATATGCTCGAAGCCCACTGCATCGTACCACATGCCCGCCGGTATTGGACCTAGATAAGAGCAAAGCTGATGCGTTAGAGGTGGCACCAATTTGGAAGAAGACCCCACTGAGCAGCTTGGCATGCCACTCCGCACTGCTCTCCAGCCACCTTCGGTTGGCCTGCAAACCAAGAGAGACACACAATCCTCTTCAAAGCCGATCTGCTGGTGCGACACGAGTCGAAAAGTGCGCTGGAGCGCAATGTCGTTGCTGCATTGGTCCAAGTCTGTCAGCATAGGCTCAAACTCCGGGGAGCTGCTGCAACACTTCCGCTGCTTCCTGGCATTTCCCCAGCACCGTTGTCCCTTAGCGCAGCAATCAAACCAGCTACCATTGCTCCAGCATGACGGTGGCGAGAAGTCTGCCAGAGCCACCGTGGTGGTCCAGAGTAAACGCAGCATCGCGGAAATAATCAACTGATGCTCCTCTACCACCTATCATCAAATCACGACTGCAAAAAGGCTGTGACAGGAATGCCTGGGTTTTGGCTTGCTGCTGACTTCAACCTTGGTGTGATGGGTATGTAGTATTCTTCGCTTGGGTACCCCCTCCCTGCAAATTCGGCGGGAATGGGTGTGTTGAACACCTATCATCAGTGCCGAAACCAAACCCCAAATCCAACATGAGGTTTCAGATGGGAGGGCTTGGGCTTCAAGGTTTGGAGCTGTGGGGTTCAGGGCTCAAGGCTCCTCCTGTCATGAAACGAAGCAGAAACACCGAATTAAAGACCAGCTCCCACTTGAGAGCTCAAGGGAGGGAAATAAGTAAGTAGCGTCCAACTTTAAGGGTTTAGGTCCGTTTCGGCCACAAGAGCGAAACTATGCTCCAACTTAATTCTCCTTTTTGCAAAACCCAGCTGCTTCGAAGCATGTCGGAGCCTGCGACATGTGTAATTGCGCAAGTGGTGCAGTCAGCTGGCTTCACTAGGTCGGGTTCCGCTCTGTGTTTGTACTGCTCCCCTAGCACAAACATGCTCTCCCTTGATCTTGCGCTCTATAGCTGCAGGATAACGAATGTTTTGGAAAAGAGGTGCCTTGGCGGAACATCCAATGCTTGACTGCTCCAGCATCAGGCATCTCCCCATGCCAAGGGGACACTGTCCGAGTATTTGCAGCCGCAAGGACATCAGCTGAATGTGCTCTTGCCCCTAGTCTCACTGCCAGTGCTGTGCGTGTGTGCGTGTTTGTTCGACTATCCCTCCCCCAATGCCCCGTCTCTGAGCCAGTGTCCCCAGCTTAGTACTTC